TTCCCATCACCATTATATCTCAGACCAAGAAGTCCGGGGTGGTGGGCCATAGGACTTCTCCCCCCCCCCCCCCCCCCCCCCCCCCCCCTTTCCCCCCCCTCTGCCCCCCCCCTGCCCCCCCCCCCCCTTCTTTCCGTGGTTAAAGAAGCCGCTTGAAACCTTCAGCAGTTCAAAGGGACAAGCGCCTGGCTCTGCAGGACCTGTTTAGAATTCGAAGCCGGGCCTTGAACATTTCCGGAGGAGGCCGAGGCTCGGCTCTTTCCTGGTGGCCACGGGCGGCCTCCGCAGGGCAGGGATTTTAATCAAAAGCATCTTCTGGAAGCTCGTTAAACTCTCGAAAGGGGAAGGTGGGTGGCTCAACCTGGGGTTTTTTTCTCTCTCTCTGCAGCGTGGAGTGACATTTAGTGACAGGAATTAGCATTTATGGGGGGTGAAAACTAGCCGGTGCGGTTTTATTGTTATTATTATTCCTTCTTTCTTTTCCTGCATGCTAATATTTTGGCGGCGTCAGAGCCCAAGCAAGGGCTGTCGTTCACTTCTACGCCTTCCAGCCCCAAATTTTCAAGCTCTGCCTTCCAGTTTATTGACAGCTGTCAATGTGTCAGTTGGTGTACCACTTTAAGGGGGCTTCTTCCTCCTTCCTACATATGTCAATCTGTCACCTTATATACCAATATAAAGGAGCTTATGTATCCCCCCCTCCCTCCATCTGTCCAGCCACCCCTCCTTCTCTCCCTCCCCCTTTCCCAACCATCACATAATCCGGGATTTACAACCATTCATTTAGTGACTGTTCAAAGTTATGACACCACCACCTCCACCCTTCTCTTCCTTCCCCTTCCTCCTCCTCTTCTTCCTCTTCTTTTTCCTCCTCCTCCTCTTTCTCTTCCTCTTTCCTCTTCCTTCTCCTCCTCTTTCTCTCTCTTCCTCCTCTTTTTCCTCTTCTTCTTTTTTCCTCCTCTTCCTCCTCTTTCTCTTCCTCTTTTTCCTCTTCCTGCTCTTCTTCTTTTTCATCCTCTTTTTTTCTCTTCCTCCTCCTCCTCCTCCTCCTCCTCCTCTCCTTCCTCTTCTTTTTCCTCCTCTTCCTCCTCTTTCTCTCCTCTTTTTCCTCTTCCTCCTCCTCTTCC